TAAGCGTTTGGAGCTGAATTAGTAAAAACTACATAGAAAACTAAGGAAATGAAAAAGAAGACAATGATTAACTCTAGGAACACCAAAATGTTATGTGAAAAAAGGAAAGAAATAATCATACCACATAGCTCAGTTGTGCACAGTGTTTATTTATTTTTTATTTATTTTTTATTTTTTTGCTGAGGAAGATTGGCCTTGAGCTAACATCTATTGCCAATCTTCCTCTTTTTGCTTGAGGAAGATTGTTCCTGAGCTAACATTTGTGTCAATCTTCCTCTATTTTGTATGTGGGACGTCACCACAGCATGGCTTGATGAGTGGTGTGTGGGTCCACACCCGGGATCTGAACCAGTGAACCCTGGGCCGCTGAAGCAGAGCATGCAAACCCAACCACTATGCCACTGGGCCGGCCCCAATAGTGTTTACTTATTAATAATAATGTAAACACCGACTATTAATCTAACCAAAATTATGTTATAGATATATTGGAAGATGGACGTTGAGAGAGTAATTGAATATGGTAGATGCTGAAGAAGAAAGAAAGCAAAGTTATTTTCCGCCACGGTGGGAAATCAATAGACTATGACAAAAAGTAAAAACTCTAGAAGTAGCAATAAAGCCATATTATTTAAATACAAAGAGTTAAAGACCAAAAAAATCAGCCAAGGGCATTGAAAATAATTACTTCCTGGAAGGGAGAAATAGGAAGGAAGTGGGTAGGAGATCGCTGTTTTTCACAACAAACCAGAAGGAACACTTTGACTCTTTAAACTATGTCATATATAACTCTGATATAAATGAAAACTTAAAAAGAAAATTAAAGCAAGTAACCAAAGATCATATTTGAACATACTATAGAAGACAACTTTCCTGAGGTAAAGAAACAGTAGAATCTGCTGGCATAATTAATTAAAAGAAATGATTACCTAGGCCTGTCCTTGTGAGTTCTGAATTTTAAGGATAAAGAATCCTACAAAAAGTTTACTACAAAGGAATGAAAATTGGGAAGGTTTCAGACTTTTCCTCACTAATAAACATTAGAGGACAAGGGACAAATTTCTAAAGGTTTGAGGGAAAATAATTGTGTCCAGGAATTCTATATCTAGCCAATGTATCTTCTTTTTCACTTTTAAAGGCAACAAAAAGACATTCACAGATATGCCTTAAAAGCATATCATCCTCATATCTTTCTAGAAAAAAAATTGCTTGATGACAGATTCCACCTGTCTAATGGACAACTCAAAACTCAAAGATCATGGTATAAAAGAACTCTCAGGAGGTATTAAAATAAGGCAAACAAAGAATTTCATCAATATATTTTTCTAATTGTGGTTTCAAAAGGATTCAAATGTGAGAAGTTATTATTGAAGGACAAAATATAATAATTTCATAATAGTAACAGCTAACATTTTTATGTGTTAGGCTCTGGTCTACACGCTTTACATGAATTATCTCATTTACTCTTTGGAACTGCCCAACGAGGTAAATACCATTATTAAGTTCATTTTACAGATGAGGACACTGAGGCACAGAGGAGCTAAGTAATTTGTCTAAAGTCACACAGCTAGCATACTGGCTATTTAACTATTGTTTCTATGCTGTGATCCTGAGGTTGGAACTCTGCAAATCATATTTCCCAGACTCTTGCTGCTGAAGGCAGACCAGGGTGATGAGATAGCGAGCGTGGGGGATGAGGAATTTGATCTGATATCAAGAGCAATCAGATATCAACGGTGGGGGATTTTCGCCAAGCTGACTCAGCAGGGTTCTTGCTAAAACTGGACTAGGCGGACCAAGGACAGAGCCCACGGTCAAGGTCTAGTCAAAAAGAGGATTCTGAGAAGCCTGGCTCAAGTTGGGTCAAGGACAGAGTCTTTGTCACTGTAAATGGGTTCAAGCTCACTAACTTAAACAATGACAATTAAAGCATTGAGCATCATCTCCACCTACCAAAATGGGATAGGTTTCTTTTTATACTGCACAAATTCAGGGATGGGAACACTCAGGATTGAGAGTTTTCTTTTAAGACCAAAAGCTCCTTGAGGGCAAGGAGTATATCTATTTTGTTCACTGTAATAAACTTTCTGGGGTGTGTCCACAGTGGGTATTTAATAAATATTTGTTAACTGAATCAGCGAGTGGGGAGCAAAGCAGTATAACTTTCCTGGAGGATACTCTGGCTCATATCTCTTGACCCAGTTATTCCATTTATTAAAAACATGAAAAACATCAAAGAAGCACAAATAAAGATATTTGTTCTAATCATATATATAACAGCAAAAAATTAAAATAAAACAATAAAATATTCAATAGTAAAGAACAGATTATCCAGCAACCATTAAAAATAATGTTTCTGGAGAATATGTAATGCAATGGGAAAATATTAACTGAAAACACCAGAACGTACCAAATATACAATGAGATCCAATATGGTAAAAAAGCCTGTATATGGAAAAAACGCTAAAAGGAAATTGATCAAAATGTCAACAGGAGTTCTCTCTATGTGATTATTATTCTGAGCTGATTTTTATTTTTTATATTTTCTTTAATGATTATGTAATTACTTTTTAAATGAGAAAACAAAAACAAGAAATGCTTTTTTTAAAGAAGGGAAATGGTTATTACAAACTCCCTTCTCCTAATGGGCAGTTCTGAAACTTGAATGCGTATCAGAACCACCTAATGGTTAGTGAAAAGAGATTGCTGCCTCTGTTCCTCCCTCTTATTTGGTAGGTCTAGGTGGGCCCTGATAATTTGCATTTCTAATAAGTTCCACTGGGCTAAAACACGGCAGCAGAGGATGGCTACATGGTATAGTGAAAATGATGTCGGTTTTGAGGTCAGTCCGGTTCTGATTCTAGCTCTACCCTTTGCAGGCTGTGTGTAGCAAGAATTCACATACTTTACCCTTGCTTGGCCTGTCTCCGCATTGATAACATAAAAGTAATGCACACCTCGAGTGTACGGTGAAGGTTAAATGATATGATTAAATACTCAATGCAGTGCCTGCCTTAGATAAGGTCCTTAATGTTGGCCCCCTTCTCTTTGATTTCCTCTAATGATGCAGCACACATTTGCCATAACTGGGTTTACTATGACATGATTTACCCACAAAACAGGTCAAACCATTTCCTCTAAACCTAACAAACTCCGCACATCCCTCTGCTACTAACAAAATCTTCACTGTTCATCTATAAAATCAGGGATAACAGTATAACAGTACCTACTTTGATATAACAGATGATAGTATCTACTTTGCAAAGATGCATCCATGAGGATTAAACAAGATAATATAAGTGCTTCACACAGTAACTGGCATAGGGAAGATATACAGTAAATGTCAGTTTCCTTTCCCCTTCTCTTTAACCGGGTATTTATCCATAGCTTCTCCCAGACCCAGTTCAAAAGCTCACCTAGTCTAGAGTAGCTCAATCTTTCCACCTTAATCAGATTGCTCTCTTGTGTCACATTTAATTTGAAGTCAATTATTTGGTTTACTTAAGTACTAGTAAGGACACACTCAATATAAACTATTGCATTGGATGTTCAAGGAGATAAGTAGAAGACTGTTCCCTGACTTTGGGGTACTTGGTTGAAGTGACATGAAAAGCTGAACAGGAATGCAAGGGAGGGTGGGACAAATTAGACAGAAAGTAAGTGTGGTAGGAGTTTTGAGATTATAGTGGCTCATTTGTGATTATTTTGCACTCAGGATCTAAAGAATTACTGAGTTGTAACAGAGCTCTGGTTTTACTGATGAGAAAATAGATCCAGAGATCTAAGTGGTCGAGGGTCACAGCTATGGAGTGGCAGAGGTTTCCTGTCTCCTGGTCTCATGCTGCTAACATTTCTAAATATTAATCAGTTTATGCTTGTGCTTCCTCAGTAGGCAGTTTGGTGTAGCCAGGTAAACACTGGGCTCTGAAGCCAAAATGTGTGGATTTGAATCCTGGCTTTGCTAGTTGCTATCTGTGTGATTTTGGGCAGGTTAATTATCCCTATGCTTCAGTTCCCTCATCTTTAAAATGAACATCCTAATACTTTATTTTATAGGGTTGTTGTGAGGATTAAATAACTTAATATACATAAAGCCCTAAAAACTATGTTTTTTGTCATTATAATTGCTATTAGTCTCTGAGAGAATGGAAGGCAAGGAATCTAGTCTTTTAATTTTTTTCTTTCTTTTAAACCTCCTCCTTCAGATTTTGATCAAAGCATCCAGGTGGGTGTTCAATAAATACATGTTATCTGCCTTAATCCTACCAGATAAAAACAAGTTTTTGTATCTCAGAAGCGAGACTTGGGATTTGGGTAAATTTGGCCAAGTCTGGTACCAGGAAAATGTAGAAAAGTAAAAACTGAGATAGCAACAGATTCTAGGAAGGCAACAGACCTGCTTCTTTAAAAAAGTCAGTCAAGATCAATAGGTGTAGCGAAAGATGGGGGTCAGTGAATCCAATTCCAAATGAGCTTTCTCATCTATTTTAAGATCTATCCCAAACTTCCTTAGATAAAAGCTAGCCTTTTAAGGAATGTGCAGAGAACATGCCTCCCGTGGGCTTGCTCTGAGGCAACGTTTTAGCAGGTGCTGCGTTCCACCCTGGAGGTGGTTGCATGAATTTGTGAACTGAGGTGACAACGTTGACTCCCTCCAAGATGCTGTCTCTACACAGGACATTTAACTGCAATGGCACTACCTGAATCAAGAAGGAGGAGGAAGAGAAGGAAAAGGAAAAGAGGGAGAAGAGGGAGAAAAAGAAGAGGAGGAGTAAGGAGAAGCAGCAGCAACGCTGCTGCCAGCCCAGTCACAGCTCAGTTCAATACTCAGATTAGAGAAAGCAAGAACCATGATTTTCCCCGGAGCATCCTTCTCTACTCTCCTCAAATGTCTGCTGAAAAAATTCTGGGACGAATTACAAACTAAGAGGGCTGTCGCTGAATTAGGGAGAGCGGGACGAGGTGAGAAATAACCTACATTCACGGGTTAGAAAAATCATGGATTTTTTCTCTTTTTTTTGGAGAGGGCAGGGCTTTGGGATCACCTTTAACATCATCTATCAGGAAATAGAGAGATGGAGAAGGGTACCAACCGGCGCTCCACATCTTCTGCATTTGGCAGGCGCATATCACACTGTCCACCCCCATCCTCGGCACTCAGGGGACGGCAGAGTAAAATAAGCATCACAGGGGGAATCTCGAAGCTAAAAAGAAACAACAGAAGGGCAGCCTAGGGTTCTCGTGTGGGAGGGGGTTAGCGAAGGTCAGGCCCATCCACAGCATCAGCAAAGGTGGAAGAATTAAGGGCCACCGTCGGCAGACGAGCCCCCAAGTTTGGGATCGGAGCCAACCGGTCGGGTCTCCTGGTACTCTAGGATCTGCCCTGCGCACAACCTTTAAGTTTCTCGGTTTGAGTCTCGCCTGCAGATTCCCAGACGAGACACAGTCTTATTAAACGTTCTTAGAGCGTCAAACCCAGACCTGACCGTTGAGCCGGTTCTCAATGACATCTGGCAGAAAAAGCGGCTTTTGAGGTTGGGGCGGAAGGCCACCGGTTTTATTTATGTTAGGGTGTGGCCTTGTACCAACTGCTAGCAAAATTTTCCCAGCCACCCCCTGTCCTCCACCTTCTGCCCAGGTGACGTCGGTAAACGCCGCAGGACCCGCCAGGGGCTAAGCGGTTAAGTCACGTCCTTCAGGTGTCAGCCTCGATCCTTTTGGAAACCACAACCCCCAGAATCCCTTGTTAGGGGAGGTCAAGCCGCAAATAATATGGCTCCAGGAGGGTGGAACATGCAGTAGGGTGGAAACCCCAGTTCCTGGCAGTTTCTTTACCGGATGTGTTTAAATAACCGAATCCCCACAAACGCACCACCCTACTAACCATCTTCCAGGCGGAGGAGGCCACCGCCGCCGCCTTGCTCGCTTCTCCAGGAGCATCCTGGGAGTTGTAGTCCAGCCGCTGGGCTGCGCCGAACTACCTTTCCCATAGTGCCCTGCGGGTTGGGCTAGATTAACGATCTTTTCCAAAACTCTCTGCGCACTGAGACTGCCTTTCCCCGTTCCCCTTGTCTCAGACGATTCCTTTAAGTCACTCGCGACAGAGCGGCGGCTGCAGGAGGGCCCCAGCCCCTCACCGCACCGCCCCCAGAGGCACTTCCGGCGGCGGTTCACTTCCTGGTTGGGTGGATGGAGCCGGGCGGGAGCGCGCGCGGGGGAGGGGCGGCGGGTCAGTCTCCGCCGGGCGCTCCGGGGATCAGCTGGCTGGCGGGCGGGCGCCGAACGCGGCCCCGGCTCTTGCTGCAGCGCCGCGTCCTCTCGCGTCGCAGGCCGGCCCGGCGGCCGTGACAATGTTGCGGGGCTGGTAGCTGGGCGCCGGTCGCCGAGCCGTCTCAAGTGGGTGCCGCCGGGATGCTGCCTCGCGGGGCGGCGGGGAGACCGGGGAGGAGGGGGAGGCAGTGCCCGGCTGGGTTGGCGCTGCCCAGGGCGGCCCGAATCCCTCCTTTTTCTGAGCTCCGGACACGGAGGTCCCGGGTTCTGGGGCCGGGCACGAGTTTTCAGCTGCAGGGTTCTTCACGCTAAGAAAATGCATGAAGCGTTTCCCCAGGATGATGGCTTTTGCTTCCCTTAGGACTCAGCAGTTGCATTTTTAAGTGTGTTACTGATTCATCCTCTCTCTCTTCCTCTGTCATCACAGGTTTAAACTTACACGAATCGCTCTCTTGAGGAGGAGGGGACCGCCGCGCGACTGACACGCATATTCCTATAGGCATCTTCCCTCAGCCCCCACCCCCACGGCCGGATTCGGGTGGCTCCTCTCCGCGCTGAAATCCGAGAAGAAATCCTTGGATCTCTTGTTTTCTTAAAAAAAAAAAAAAAGAGGAAAGAAAAAGAAAAAAAAATCGGGAAACCGTCGGTATTTTGTTTTTCTGCTTCCTATTCGCAAGATGAAGAAGTTTTTCGACTCTCGGCGAGAGCAGGGCTGCTCTGGCCTGGGCTCTGGCTCCAGCGGAGGAGGGGGCAGCACCTCGGGCCTGGGCAGTGGCTACATCGGAAGGGTCTTTGGCATTGGGCGGCAGCAGGTCACTGTGGACGAGGTGTTGGCGGAAGGTACGGTGGGCTCTTTCAGTGCGCCGTAAATTAAAATCTTGTGCTGATGCAGCAAGACTCTGGTTTCTAGTTGTTGAATGTTTGAATGGGTTTTGGCCAGTTGACCCTCCCTTCCCCCTTCCCTTGCCCTGTGAATCATTGTCCTTGAAAAATTTAAAACTGAGGTTTGAAAGTGACAGGGCTTATGGGGACGAGGGGGAGGTTGCTGGAAATTGTTTACCTCGGTGGGCTTTTCTTTAAAAAAACGTTGACAAGCCAACTCTTGTTTGCCTCTCTGAATTCTGAGGATCAGGCAGAAAGTGTAATGCTTCACGTTGAATGTAGGGTAGTGGGCTTGCCATCCTTTCAAAACTTGAAATGTTGATTTGAGGGCTGAAGGGTGGGGTTGGAGGACGTTTTGGAAGAGAGAGGGGTTTCTTCTCCTCCCACCCAACTTTCCCACTCCCACGAGCCGGCATTGGAAGGAAGAGAGGATTTTCAGAGAATGGGAATGTGTTTTTCTATGAGCCAAGGCTCTTGGTGGATTTGACCAGGTTCATTTCCTGACCCAACTGTAATCAGGTCCCCAGGATGTAGCTAAGATAACAGAAATTACATGAAATGAATGTGGTTGTTTTGAAATCAGTCTAGTAGGCCCCTCTTCCTCTTGTTTTAGTTTTTTTTTTTTAGCCAAAAGAATACTTGAGAGTGGCATCTGATTTTTGCTTTTCCTCTATTGAAGAGGATGTTATTTAGATCTGCCCTGTAAATTCTCTCCGTGTGTGTTCATTTGTATATCTGTCGATAGGTAGATATCCATCTTTATCCCCCAGGCTTTTTGGAAATCTTTGCATGTCTCTTTGGATAACCTTAACCTCGACCTTCATAATTATGCCAGACTTATACTTTTCACAGCCCATTGCCTGCCTAGTGTGCTTTTATTTTTAATAAAAGCAGCAATTTCCTCAGCATGAAGCTATTCAAACTAATTGGATGGGGCCAACCTGCTGTACGTTGTGTTATTGGCTGAGAGGGGATCGGGGAAGGGGGAGGCCTCTCTTACTGCAACATTGTGGTGGGGGAACAGTTTATTAGCTGTGAAAGGAGCCTTTCTGCAAGCTAAGATTGAAGCAAGGGTCCTGCCCCGGGCCTGGGAAATGCCTGTCATGGGGAGTGTTGCAGGCGGGTGGGTTGGGAGGAGGAAGAAGCTGTGTTTGGCTCTCAGCTTGTGTAAGCACTGGATTCAGCTGGACCCAGTTTTCTGGGTTTAGGGTTGAAGCCGGCACTTTAAAAACACTGTTTTAAAAAAGATCTGACAATGTCTTAATGTCTTTGTGAAATTGTTGCTCTTTTCCTTTCTCACTATTGCTGTAGCTGGACTTAATCCGGGGCCTGAGTCACTGCCCCTCTGGATCTTTCTTTGTGGGCTTTGGTGCAGGATGGGAGATGCTTCTGTGCCCGCTGCCAGATCCGCACCCTTGAGTCTGATGTGTCTCTTTCATCCCTGTGCCAAGCCCTTGACTGCAGTGGGATGGAGAAATGGAGGAGTGTGTGAGAGAGAAATCAGGAGGAATGAGGGGGCGCAGAGCTCTTTCCTTCCCTCTAAATGGCCTCTGCTGAGCTTACAGTCCAGGAGCATTTTGTTCAGCCAGGATATTGTCTCGTGATAGATGGTGCTACCCTGGCAGTGCTTCCACTCAGAGTCTGAGTGATGGGGAAGAGAAAAGGCAAAATTGGTCTTTGTTATCTAGGCTGCCCTCCTCTTCCCTAAAATTCATCCCTGAGAACTGCACATCATGCATTGGGATATTTTTAAGTGGAACGTAGGGCTTGCAGCTCTGCATTCATTCATTTATTTGTTCAGTCAACAAATAGTTGTGGAGTGTCCATGAGTTGCCAGGCACTGTGCTAGGCTCTGGGGATATGATATAAAACTAGATGTTGGAGTTTACAAACTACTTTGAGAGATGGAAGACAGCCAGAACAGAGTGATGTGTGCTATCATGGACATGAGCTTAGGGTGCAATGGTCCCCCTTTTAGAGAGCCAAGAATCTGCAGGAAGTGACTGGCTAAAGAATCAGTAGGAGTTATCCATGTGTGGTGACAGCATGGACAAAGACTCAGAGTAGCAAGAGAGAAAAAGTATGGAAAACTGGGTGTGGTAGCATTCCCCTCTTTATGTTCTTTGACTATAATTGAGTTTGAATTTGTGGCTCTTAGAAGTATGTAGCTATATGGGAGCCAGTATACAAAGTATTTATGTAGCAGCTACCAACTCCAAAGGCACTACTAGCTTCTGAGAGGGATATAGGGAGGTCTAAAGTGTGATGGCTGCCTTTAAGCAGCTGGCAGTAAATTTGGGAAGATGAGGCAAACATTCACACAAACCGTAGCATGGTGACCAGCACTTTCTGTAGAGTCTGGCAGATCCAGGTTCAAATTCTGGATCTGTTCTTTACTTGCTGTGAAACCTTGGCCAAGACATTGCAAACCTCTCTTGAATCTCTCTTTCCCTATGGCAGTGGTTCTCAAAGTGTGGAGCCTGAATCATGAGCATCAGTATCACCTGGGAGCTTGTTAGAAATGCAAATTCTCAGGCCTCATCCCGTACACCATGGGTGTGGGGCTTTAATAAGTTGTTGGAGAGATTCTGATGCAAGCTAAAGTTTGAGAAGCACTGTCCTATGGAGTGGTCTTGAAGATTAAATGAGGCAATGTAGATAAATTATGTAACATTTTTCAAGTGTTCGGTAAATGGTAGCCATTATTTACCAGGACTTTACGTCATATATACATAGCTAGAGAAGTGTGTGTGAGGGCAATGTGAAGGCTAGTTTGACTGCAGCAATCCTTTTCCTCCCATTATGAGTTGACAGAGCCGGATCTTTTTTGTAGGGTCTTCACCAGCTCCTTAAAGGGTCAACAGATGTTTTTGGTAGCCATGCTTCTTCCTGGACCCTCTTCTCTTTGAGTCCCCACATGCTGACCTAGCCACCAGTCCCAGCCAGAGTGGTCTAAGGATGATGAGAGTTGTGCGTCAAGTGCCCAGGGCAGTGGCCAGGAAGTTCAGAGAGGGGTGGTCTGGTGGGCTTCAAACACAGACCCTTCTGTTAACACCACATCCCACTGATCATTCCTTTTTCCCTAATGTGCGTATTGGTCTATGCTTTATAGTGAGGAATTGCAAGAACCCCAAGGAGGAGGTGCTGGAGTAAGACAGGAGAATGCCTGGGCTGCCGTCTCTCTATCAGCAGTGTCAGCCCTGCTGGCCTAGTTTCGCTAACTAGTACGGCTGGGGCTTGTTTGTCTGGGGGAAGTGAAGGCTCTCAGTCGTGAGTTCAGAGGGGTATGCTATCTCTAGATTGGGTGAAGGGGAGGATATTTTCTCTTTAGCTTCCTCAGCAAAGATGCCACGATGAGATGCTAAATCATGTCTCAGGTAATGGGCACGTGATGTCAAAGGAAGATTTGGTTTAAGCTTCCAGAATGAGCTCAATGGGAAAATTGGAGCAATGCTCAAAGGACTAAGAAGCTGTGCTTTTATCATACCTCCTTAGCTATGAGGCCTTACATCTAAGCTTTAAACAGTGAATAAATGTTCATTGAATACCTGCTGTGTCCAAGACAACATTCCAGAACTGCATCAGTCCTGTATAGGGTGGACGAGGTGGCCCTTCAGAACAGTTTTCCACTTACAATAAAGGAATCCAGGTCTAGGGCTTATGAGAACTACTAGGTCCCCGTGTCAGTCAACGTTGACCATTTCTCCTACCTACAGTGCAAGGTAATGAGGCTTAAAAATGTGTGTGAAACCACCTAAAAAAACCAACAGTTACTCTTTCATGGCCTGAAGTGGAAATCTCTAATTTACTTATTTATTTTATGTATTGTTTATCTTACCTACACTGAAATGTAAGCTTTATAAGGGAATAGATATCTATGATTGATTTATTCACTGAGGTACCCAAACCACCCAGAATAGTTAAAATGTATTTGTTGTGTGAATGCATAAATGAATAAGTCAATATTAAAATAAAAACCAACCAAACATATATGATATATATGGCATATGGTTATAACATGTTGGTGGTATCAATATGATGCATGCATGTATTCAGTTAGTGATAGTTGTGTTAGTGTCTTCTTTGTGCCAGACACTGTATTAGGTTCCACAGCTACTAAGGTGAATGGGACTTGGGCTTGGCTCTTAAGGAGCTCATAGACCAACAAACCCTAAGGTAGGTGTCCAGCATTTAGCATGGCCCTGGGTGTATAGTAGGTGGGAAAAAGATGTTATGAGATGATAAAGAGAAGGGCCTGGGGGTGAGGGTCTACAGATGAAGTGTGATTTGATCAAGATTGGAAATTGCCCAGCAGATGTTCCAGATGAGGGTTACCCAAGGCCTTCCAAGCAGAGAGAATAGCATATGCAAAAGTGTGGAGTGGTGAAACAGTGTCATGAGTTCCAGGAATACTGACTAGTCTGGTGTTATCATTTTGGTTAGTACAAGTTTCCCTTCCAGAATCAAGGAAAGAAGGACATGGAATAGTAGAAGGAAGTTCTTTTACATTTGCTCCCTGGCTTTCCTTGCTGCTCACTTTCTTCAGTGGTCCTGGGCCTTTTGAGTAACTATTGATTAACTATCCAGTATCCACTGCCCCCTCTGTGCCTCGGCCCTTTGCTAATTGTGGGGCAAGGGAGTGGCTAGTGTCTGGGGAAGGAGTGGTCCTGAAGGTTTGAAGAGAAGCAGGAAGCTTGAAACAGAGCAGGTCGAGGAGTGAGATGACTAGTGTTATAGAAAGGAGTGGACAGAGGGATGATGAGGATGTTTGACCAGAGCAGAAAGTATACTAGAGAGAAAAGAAAAGGAAATAAGGTTATGGAGAGCTTTAGTGTCTGACAGAAAGGTTAGTTATAAGCACCTGAGGTCTTCTCTTGACGCAAACACCAGTTGGATCCCTCCCACATCAGATGTCTTTGCCTGCTGGGAAGTCTGGTTTTTTAGTGGCAACTGCAGAT